GAACGTCAACCTACGTTCGAATGTCCTGCACAGACTGTCTGCAGAGTAGTTGGTTTTCCACTTGAACTTGGGCGGCATACATTATTCATCCTCTCTCGTCTTCCCCCCTTCCCTGCCTATAAATACTCCTATGTTAGGAGCTTGAAGGAGTGCAATTTTTTCTCTTGTAAATTAGGAAGCTAGAACTTGGTTTGTAGGCTTAGACTACACCAAGAACTAGTAAGGAGCTTGTATGGAGGCTTTGACTCCCACTCATTTTGATTAATCTTAAATGTTTATTATATTTGCTTGTCTTACATCTTTTGGTTGAGGAAGTAATCCTCCATTTGTTGGTTGAGGAAGCAACCCTCCATTTGTTGGTTGAGGAAGCAATCCTCCATCTTTTGGTTGAGGAAACCACCTTCCAAGAGTAACTAGCTTTCTTCTACTTTTATTGTCTATGCATTTCACTTCCATTGCTTGAGCTTCCTTCTTTCCTAATAGAGTGAAACTCTTCCAGTTTTCTAGAGTTTTACCAAAGCCGTGAAGGGTGGAACGTGATTCACTTGTTCTTCATTGAAGATAAACTCTTTGTTTAGTTTGTTTCACTTAGTAGCTCCTCTACTTGGAGGGATGAGTATCACTCACTTTTCTACCTTTGCCAAAGCCATGAAAAGTGAATAGTTCCTCATTCACTCTTTAGTAAGAGGTGATGAATATGTAAAGATTATCTGGAAGTTATGTTTGTGCAACTCCTTTATGCTTTGATGCTTTATATTCCACTTACTCATTGGATGATTGAATGCATCTAGCAAAAATAAGGTACTTTATATAACCAAGGGCCCCTTCTATGATACGGATGACTTCTGCATAGAAATATCCGTTGGTTCAAGGCAAACACCCCGACTAGCTTTTCATGACAACCTTTCAATCTCTACAATTATTGTGCTTTATTTAAAGAATGAAACATTAATGTCATAGTTAGATGCCTTGTAGAAACACTTGCTTGTTTGTAGACGGGTTAAGTCTCGGCACAGAAAATTCTTGTAAACTTCTAGAAAGGCATCGGAATCATGTGCTTAATTCTCACAGTCCATCTTTATCTTCCGATTAACTTGCTGTTGATACGGGAATTAATTGAGTTATAAAGCACAAACATAATAAACCGGATAATCAATTACATGTTCTGATCTTCGAACTAAAGAGTGACTATTATCTCTGCTAATTTATCTTATATTTTGTCTAGAAAAATATCCATTGCNGGGAATTAATTGAGTTATAAAGCACAAACATAATAAACCGGATAATCAATTATATGTTCTGATCTTCGAACTAAAGAGTGACTGTTATCTCTGCTAATTTATCTTATATTTTGTCTAGAAAAAGATCCATTGCAAAGAATCTTATATTCTATCCAAAAAACCCCACAACTTCAAATTCTCAAGACTTCCAGTTACTTGGTCTCTAGTANACTATTATCTCTGCTAATTTATCTTATATTTTGTCTAGAAAAATATCCATTGCAAAGAATCTTATATTCTGTCCAAAAAACCCCACAACTTCAAATTCTCAAGACTTCCAGTTACTTGGTCTCTAGTATTGTTTACTTCAAAACAACAATCATAGTTTCCTATGGATTCGACTCTGGACTTAACTGGATTATTACTATAACTTGACCGCCTGCACTTTGGTATACACATTTCAGATCAAGCCAAGAGTACCTCAATTGAATTATTACAAAAGTTATTTCAGGAGATTGTTGAAATTTTTAGCTACATGTACTTGAGACGCCCAAGTAACACCGACATTTGTAAGTTGTTATCAAAAGGTGATAGAGTGGGTTCCATGAGATGCTTGATAGCATTGACTGTATGTATTGGAAGTGGAAGAATTGTTCAATCGCATGAAATGGTATGTATGCTTGAAAAGACTATCATGAGCTTTCGTTGATTCTTGAAACCGTTGCTTCATATGACCTTTGGATATGACAGGCTTGTTTTGGACTATCGGGATCACACAATGATGTCAATGTATTTGATCGCTCTCTTTTATTTTTCGACCTCGTTGAAAGCTGAGCTCTTATAGCTAATTACACAATGAATGGTCATAATTGCACAATAGGATACTATCTTGTCGATGGCATCTATCATTCTTGGGCGACATATGTGAAAACAATTTCATGCTTATAAGGGACAAAGGCAAAAAAATTTGATGCAGTTCAAGAGTCTGCAAGGAAAGACGTTGAACAAGCATTTTGAGTGCTACAAGCACATTTTGCAATAATTTGTAGGCCTGCTCGTTTTTGGGATCGTCAAACACTTCAATTGATTATGAAGACTTGTATTATAATGCAACATGATTTTTGAGGATGAACGTGACGAAAATCTTCCACTTAATTACAATGCAAACGAGAGTAAAAGTGAAAAATCTTCCACTTAATTATGATGCAAACGCTTTAGAATTTCAGGATTTTATTCGAAATAACATACAAATTTGCGATAGGAGAATACATTTTCACCTTCGAATTGATTTAGTTGAACATTTGTGGCATTGCCACGAGGATAGTAGTAATATACAAATTGGTTAGAATTTATGTTTTGAAATTATTCTTTTAAATATCGTTTAAATTTTATTAGTTAAGTTTAATAAGAATTTTAATTTTAATTAAAAATATAATTCTTTTCATATAAAATATATAATATTTTAAAATGTATTATTTTTTAATAATATTTATTTTAATTTATCCTAAAATTTATTTTAAATATATATTAAATTAATATTTAAAAGATATTTAACAATAAAAATTAAATAAAATAAAATATCTTGACATATTAATAAGAGTATACTCTTTTAAATTTAAATTTGACATATAACATTTCTGCACTAACTTTAAGTTTAAATATATTATATATTATAGGCTTTTAAATTTAAATTTGATATATAAAATTTGGACANAAATTTAAATTTGACATATAACGTTTCTGCACTAACTTTAAGTTTAAATATTATATATTATAGGCTTTTAAATTTAAATTTGATATATAAAATTTGGACATCTCNGACATATAACATTTCTGCACTAACTTTAAGTTTAAATATATTATATATTATAGGCTTTTAAATTTAAATTTGATATATAAAATTTGGACATCTCCATGACTCTTAAACCGAATACAGAGAGAGAGAGAGAGCGGCGAGAGGGACAACTGCGAGAGGGGAAGAAAACCTTCCATCAAATCTGAGTTTCGCCGAGTTTGGCGGCTGCTGGTTGCCTGGGAAGAAGGGCTGAGAGGCTGGGCTGTTGCTGCTTGCCTGGGAAGAAGGACTGAGACCTGCGCGAGAGACGAAGAGCAATTAGAGGAGGAAGAAGAAGAAGAAGAGGGACTATCCGTACTCACTTTTCAGGTTTTTTTCGCAAATCCTTTCAATTCCTTCTCCCGTTCATATAATTGGGAAAGGGTGGGATTTAGGGTTGAATAATTGCTTCTGTTGCATGTGGGTTTCTTTGTCACTGATTTAGGGTTGCAAAATTGTTGGATTGCATGTTCCTTACGCTTAGGTGGGTTTTTCATTTTTCCTTTATTTCTTATTATTTCCTTTCTCATTTGGCTTATTCAGTCGCGAATCAAACTGAATTGATGAATCTGCAAGTGGGTCTAGTCTGATACTCCGGGTTGGGCCGATACCTTGAACTGATATTTGGTTGTTTTGTAAGTTGGTCTGCTGAAGAGCAATAATGGAAGAGTTGAAACCCAAACCTAGGAGGGAAGAGTCAGAAAGGAAGGATGAGATGAAGAGTCATCGCGACAGGGAGGGTCGTGAGCGCAACAGGGACAGGCACACTGCCAAGGACAAGGACAAAGACAAGAACCATCAGAAGAAGGATCGGGAGAGCCGGGCCTCGGAGAGGGAGAAGAGTATTGACGACAAGTACAGGGAAAGGGAGAAACACAAGGAAAGACATAGAGATAGGGACAAGGAGAAAGAAAGGACCAGAGAAAAGGGTCGGGATGATGAAAGAGCTACAGATAAGACAAAAGACAGAGAAGATAGAGATGGGGACAGAGGCAGGGAAGATAAAGAGAGGGAGAGAGAGAAGCGGAGTGAAAGCAGAGAGAGGGAAAGGGAGAGAGATCGTGAAGGTAGAGAGAGGGAGAGAGAAAGAGAGCGGGAGAAAGAAAGGGAGAGAGAGAAAGAGCGGGAGAGGAGGGAGAGGGAGCGCGAAAGAGAAAGGGAAAGGGAAAGGAGGGAGAGAGAGAGAGAAGAAAGGGATAGAGAGAGGGAGAGAGAGAGGGATAGGATCCGGGACAAGGAGAAGCGTAGAGAAATTGAAAAGGATTATAGTTTTGAGGATGGCGATGTTAGAGATCGTGACAGAAAGCGGCGTAGGAGGGAGGATGATAATAAGGACAGGGAGCATGAACGGAGCAGCAAGTCCAACAGGAACAGGGATGGGATTGAAGATGGTAGCCCTAGAAAAAGAAGTGATGAAGACTCATCATCAGACAATAAAGAGAAGACCCGAGAGGAGGATCTTGAGGAAGAACAACGGAAGTTGGACGAGGAGATGGAAAAGCGGAGGAGGAGAGTTCAGGAATGGCAGGAGTTGAGAAGGAAGAAGGAGGAATCTGAGAGGGAACAGGATGGAGTTCCAGCTAACAATGATGAACCCAAGTCTGGCAAGACATGGACCTTGGAAGGGGATTCTGATGATGATGAAGCTGTTCCTGAGGAGAAATTGGACATGGATATGAATGCGGATGAAGCTGCCAAGCCCATAGATGTAGATGGAGATGGCATGGTGATTGATTCGGAGAATGGGGTTGCTCTACCCCTTCCACAAAACCAGACTGATGGGGCTGATGGAGATGACGAAATTGATCCATTGGATGCTTTCATGAATTCTATGGTATTGCCCAAAGTCGTGAAACTAAACAATGTCGAGGCTCTTGCATCAGATGATAAGAATTCTGACTTGAATAATGATAATAGTGTCCCAATTCATGGGCAACAGCCTAGAAAACAAATGAACAAGTCTATGGGCAGAATCATTCCCGGTGAAGATTCTGATTCAGATTATGGGGATCGTGAGAATGAGGAAGATCCTTTGGATGACGAAGATGATGATGAATTTATGAAACGGGTGAAGAAGACTAAAGTTGAGAAGCTATCAATTGTTGACCATTCAAAAATTGAATATCCTCCATTCCGGAAAAATTTCTATATCGAAGTGAAGGAAATCTCAAGGATGACTCCTGAAGAAGTTGCCGCTTACAGGAAACAACTGGAATTAAAGCTATATGGAAAGGATGTGCCAAAGCCAATTAAAACTTGGCACCAGACCGGATTAGCTACTAAAATTTTGGAGACAATAAAGAAGCTAAACTATGACAAGCCAATGCCAATTCAAGCCCAGGCACTGCCAATAATTATGAGCGGTCGAGACTGCATAGGTGTTGCGAAGACAGGCTCCGGCAAAACACTAGCATTTGTGTTGCCCATGTTGAGGCATATCAAGGACCAGCCACCATTGATGTCTGGAGATGGGCCTATTGGGCTTATAATGGCACCTACAAGAGAGCTTGTTCAGCAAATCCACAATGACATCAAGAAGTTTGCAAAAGTAATGGGTATCGGCTGTGTGCCTGTATATGGAGGTTCTGGTGTTGCTCAACAAATTAGTGAATTGAAAAGAGGCACTGAGATTGTTGTCTGCACCCCAGGTAGGATGATTGATATACTTTGTACGAGTGGTGGGAAAATAACAAATCTCCGTAGGATCACCTACTTGGTCATGGATGAAGCTGATAGAATGTTTGATATGGGTTTTGAGCCTCAGATCACACGGATTGTCCAAAATACTCGACCTGACCGACAAACTGTACTGTTTTCTGCTACTTTCCCTCGTCAGGTTGAAATATTGGCACGCAAAGTGTTGAACAAACCTGTGGAAATTCAGGTAGGCGGCAGGAGTGTGGTCAATAAAGACATAACACAGTTGGTTGAGGTGAGACCTGAAGATGAAAGGTTCCTTAGATTGTTAGAGCTACTAGGAGAGTGGTATGAGAAGGGAAAAATTTTAATATTTGTCCATTCACAGGAGAAATGTGATGCGTTGTTCAGGGATTTGCTTAAGCATGGATATCCTTGCCTTTCACTGCATGGGGCCAAGGATCAGACAGATCGCGAATCCACCATTTCTGATTTTAAGAGTAACGTATGCAATTTGTTGATTGCTACAAGTATTGCTGCCAGGGGTTTAGATGTAAAGGAGCTTGAACTAGTGATCAACTTTGATGTTCCCAACCACTATGAAGACTATGTTCACCGTGTTGGTCGTACTGGTAGAGCAGGCCGGAAAGGCTGTGCTATCACATTTATATCTGAAGAAGATGCAAGATATGCACCAGATCTTGTAAAAGCCTTGGAACTATCTGACCAAGTTGTTCCTGAAGACCTGCAAGTTCTTGCAAATGGTTTCATGGCAAAGGTGAATCAGGGACTTGAGCAAGCCCATGGGACTGGTTACGGTGGAAGTGGTTTTAAATTTAATGAAGAGGAAGATGAAGTGAGGAAAGCAGCAAAGAAAGCACAGGCCAAAGAATATGGTTTTGAGGAAGATAAATCAGACTCAGATGATGAAGATGATGGGGTGCGAAAGGCAGGTGGTGACATCTCACAGCAAGCTGTCCTCGCTCAGGTTGCTGCCCTTGCTGCTGCCACTAGGGCGAATACAGCTGCGTTGCCAACACAGGTCGCAGCTGCTCAACTGCTTCCCAATGGTGGATTGCCTGTTTCTCTGCCAGGGGTTCTTGGTCTATCAGTACCTGGTCCAACTGCAGTTATGAATGGGACTGCACTGCCAATTGCCGCCAATGATGGGGCAGCTAGGGCCGCAGCATTAGCAGCTGCCATGAACTTGCAGCATAACTTGGCAAGGATTCAGGCCGATGCTATGCCTGAACATTATGAAGCAGAGTTGGAGATAAATGATTTTCCTCAAAATGCTCGTTGGAAGGTAACACACAAGGAAACATTGGGTCCGATTTCAGAATGGACTGGAGCTGCTATTACAACTAGGGGGCAGTATCATCCACCTGGTAGGATCCCAGGACCGGGTGAAAGAAAGCTTTACTTGTTTATTGAGGGCCCTACTGAACAGTCAGTCAAGAGGGCGAAAACTGAATTGAAACGTGTGTTGGAGGACATCACAATGCAAGCATCATCACTTCCAGGTTCAGCTCAACCAGGCCGCTACACGGTTGTGTAAGAACTAGACACGATCTCTGTATGGTGGTGTATTATTTCTTGCTCGGTATACTAAAGTAGTTTATCTATATCGAGTGTGGGAATTGTTTATGGTAGACCCATCTCATCTTTTGGCTGGTTGAATGTAATGGGACTTGTATGTGATCCATTCTTTTTTGAATTATTGTAGTTCACTTACATTTTTTCTTCATATATGAGTATGACTTTCACTTGATGTAGAAACATTAAGAGATACTGGAATTATGATGATGCATATCATTCTATTTTCTGGATCACGAGTTGGTGACTGAGCACTTTAATGTGATTGATGATAAACTAGGAGCTAGTCAGTGCACACATTGTTCATGTTATTGATGATAAACTAGTATTGCTCAAGCAATACTTTTCATTTTCATACCAGGGTGATTGTTAGGGGCTGAATAGAATGCTGGTTATAGTTTGCTGCTTATTTCAGCCATTTTTGGCACAATTTGTTTCTGCTAATCATAAATTGAAATGCCAACTACAAATGCCTCAGAAGTTTAGAGAAGTATGCAGCATATTATACATGCTATACAGGGGATGCTGAAATTTAAGCTCTTGTTGTCTGAACTGTGTCTTAGACTTGGAGTGAAGGCAAGTGTTCATTTGTCCAGCGTCATATCATGGATTCAAGTTTGAGGATCAGCTTCTCCATTGTAAGGGTAAGAGTGTTTATCACTTATCTCTTCTAAACTCGTTCTAGGCTGGAACATTTTTTGCATTTTTTGTTTCCTTATTTATTTGCATGAAATGTCTGGGAATCTTAGCTTGTGCCTTGCACTTTTTCACTTATCAATATGACTGCTTTGCACATCGAATGCACACTCAACCAGTTGAGATATAACTGTAAAAGATTCTTGGGGGCGGCCATTATTCTGGTGGAATAAAGCACCTTATCTTGAAAGAATGACAACTCAATATCCAATTGGGTAGGTCTGACTTTTCCAAGGTGCCAACTAGGATAAAAGTTTTCAAATGTGCCATTACAATTATGGCGTGAAGATAGGATGAGCTACTTGGGAACTCTTTGGAAACCCTTCGAATTTTGAATTGTAAATAGCCAAATACAATCTAGAAGTAGGCTTTCTTTTACTAGGGTGTGCACAGAACTGAAGCTATGTAGGAAATTCCTTGACCGTCAAAATTAAGCTAGAAAATGGTGTGATCCATGAAATTAAGGTGGAATGCCCNAAATAGCCAAATACAATCTAGAAGTAGGCTTTCTTTTACTAGGGTGTGCACAGAACTGAAGCTATGTAGGAAATTCCTCGACCGTCAAAATTAAGCTAGAAAATGGTGTGATCCATGAAATTAAGGTGGAATGCCCATGGAAGACCCCAGCTGCTCTAAATGCAAGTTTTTGGCAGTTCTTCTCTTTGGTGCCCTCTAACCCCAAGACAACCTGCTTCCCACACATGGAAGAGGAGAGTGGTAAGGGTAAGGAAGTGAACTTAATGGAAGGTGGGAAACAGACCAATGGAAAAGGGGAAGAAAACAGTGAACCCTCTTCTAGACTACGAGTCTGGGCTTTTAGCTTTTTTCTTGCACTTTCATGTAAGTTATACCATATGTAGGGAGCACCCATCTGCGGGTTGGGTACTTGGTTTATATTTACAGGTTGAAGACGGGTTGGGGAATATCACTCTAATTAATTAAGCGGGTTAATGTGAGTTGGGCATGGGTATCCGACGGATGAAATTTATGGAAATAACTATACTTGGGAGTGTTTTCAATACGTCGCGTGATGTTTTAATACTACCATCACTGCAGTAGATCCTAGAAGCTAGTGAGTTTTAAGCTTTGGAAGTAAATAAATAAAGAAGGGCATCGGTGGTGCCAGTGTGTTTTGTGTTTGTGTAGCTTTGTGTAGTTTTTATCAATGCGTTTTTGGACATATCAGTGTGTTTGTTACTGTGCACCAGTGTGTGTGTACCACAGCTCCATGCATCAGGCTGTGTGCATGTTGGGTTCTCTGAATTTGTTGTGTTTTCTGGTATATCTGGTGTGTGTAGTTGTTTGTATTTTTTTATCAATGTTTTTTTTTTTTGTGTTTTAGGCGTATCACTATGTTTATGACTTTGTGTGCACTTGTGTGTTTATATGAAGCGCAGCTCCGTGCATCGGTGTGTCTGCGTGTTGGGTTCTGTGAATTGGTTGTGTGTGTTTTTTTCATGTATTCTAGCAGTTTTATAAGTGTGAGCATTTTAAGATTTTTTATTATACGTATGTGGGTTGATGGGTTAAGCGGGGGAAAGTGAACTTGAATAGAATTACACATCACAATTTATCAACCCGTCCATTTTTCATTGCTAACCATATTCATATGATAAGCGATAAAGTTATATATTAAAATCTTGTTATTTGTAGTAAAACTCAATATATTATTTAATAAAAATTAGTTATTTTTTATTTTAATGAGAATATATGTGGATAAAATGTTTGTATTATATTAAATGTATAATATGTACTAGTGATAACACGTAACTAAACTTACAGTACACTAAATTATTATATTGTGTATGCATTGGAATGTGTGTTGGACTGTGTGTATGTATATGCAGCTATGTGTTATAGAGTGTGTTGGGTTTTTGAAATTTTTTTTAGGGGGGGGGGGAATGTGTGTTAGGTGTGTGAGTTTTTTTTTTTTTGGGGGGAGAGAGAAATATACCCTCCATAAGTTTAAACACCTATCAGAATTATTATATAGATGTTTGTCTTTTATTTTATATTGTAGATAATTTAGTGTATAGAGTTCAGGTTATTCACAGAAGATCAGATTATTGAATCTTTGTATAAAATGAGTACAGTTTTATAGTCTTAGATGAAATTGAACACGCCATCAATAAAATTTTAATGCAATTTTTTGACAGTCTTTCTTAGTTATAAGAGACTGTCTGATGTCTCGAATTATTATATTAGTACACTTTGTGTATTGAACATGACAATTTTTAAGATTATTATTCTCACTTGCCAAATATCCAATGGAAAATGAAGCTTCAAAAAACTAGAAATTTTTTTTGCTAGATGAAAATGATTTGAGGAAGCTTTATGAGATGAAGAACTCCAAGGCTGGCACCTCTACTTCTCTCAAGCCTACAATGCTAACTAAATCCCACAACCAGTTAACTTGACACTAACCCAATCTCAAAAGATGAGCAACCCAATCTCAAAAGATGAGCAATCCAAGTGATATGAATGGAAACCTTCTTAGGAGCATGGTATTTAAACTACTTAGCATTGGATATGTGCCTTGATTTACATTGAATTCTATTTTTGGGGGTTAAGTTACATTATATTTTAAATGTTTACGTATTATTAGTGTTGATTCTAACCTTTTGGAATGTAAGAGGTTTATAGAAGTTCTAGTTAATGTTTATGTTTGGGAAAAGAAAAGAGAATACATTGAAAAAAATTGACCCTACATTGGATCATTGTCAATTTTTAGCAAGGTTGAAATCAATTTGACCCACTACTTTTCAAAAAAAATTGGACAGGACTTGTAGGGGGTTGTTTCTTTTAGAGGTCAACCACTATTATTTACATAAGTCCGAAGCTGAGGGAAAGTATACATTTTATGGGAATGGATTCGTCAATGCCACGTGAGACGGTATACACCATTTCTAAAGTGGTTTATGATGTGATCCAGCAGAGAATGGTTACGTAACTCATATGTTAGGACACTGGGACTCAAATGTAAAAACTTAGATAATGTATTAAATCTTGACCTACCTATCGGAGAATTATTGGAAACACTTAGGGTGTGTTGGGATTGTATACTCCAGATAGGAGAACACAAATTGAGTGTAGATTTGGTGGTATTAGACATGCAAGGGTATGATGTGATATTTGGGATGAATTTGCTATTAGTATACTTTGTTGTGATGGATTGCTTCTGAAAAAGGTAGTATTCATGTCACTATGAGGGGTAGTATTCAGCTTCACTAATGAATAGAATGCTTCTCACCCATTTTCCATGACAGGTAGACGATTTTTACAAGCTAAGGTAAGGAGTAGCATGAGTTTTCTAGCTAGCCTAATGGGAGAGAAACAAGTTGAAACCCCAACGAGAGGTTATATAAGTGGAGTCAGAATTTCTAGATGTGTTTTCGAATGAGTTACTTGGCTTACCCTCTCAGAGAGATATTGAGTTTATTATCGACTTGTCTCTGGGAATATATNCTTTTTAAAGTGGTTTATGATGTGATCCAGCAGAGAATGGTTAAGGTTGTTTTTGTTTGTGATGGATGAACAAGGTAGGTTCATTGTGTAAATTCCTAAAACGTGACTAACATACACGAGACATCTGAGATAATGTTTATATAATTATTCATTATTTACTCTGATTCATAATGCTTACTTTTGTTATCAAATTATTGTATTCCACAAACTTGAGATCGTTATAACTGACATTGTTTTAATTCCAAAAGTTATATATGATATTTTTTTTTTAAAAAAAAGAGTCTTTCTTGTTTTATGCTTTAAAAATCTTTTTTGAATTTGAAAGGGATTTCCTACGGGCTTTGAGACAAAGGTTGATCAGGATGGAGATCTTAGAGCTGAGGCTTAGAGTTGTTCTTTCACTATATGGATTTTTAGAATGAATTCCTTGGTGATGTGCTGAACATTCGATAATTGGTAATTAATTTTGAGACTCTTAGTATTATTTAAATATTTCGGATGTAAACTTGGGGATTTACTTTAGTTAGCTTTGAGATTTTTACTTATCTATGGTGAATGTCGAATGGTTTTGATATATGGTTGGAGGTTTTTTAGTTGCTCTCATGATTAGATGGTCTGTAGATAGTTAATGCCAAATTATGGAATTTGGGGTGTTACAAGTTTGGTATCAAGTTTGGTATCAGAGTTTAGGCATTAGGTCTTACATGGAAGATGTATGTTATGAACTATCACTAGAATTTTAGGTTAGCTTAAAAGAACATTAGACTCAAATCATTTGGAAATGATACGTTTAAACATTTAGTTTGAGTTGATGTCGATAATTGGGTAAGGAAACTAAACTGTGCCTGATGTGCAGAATGAACGGTAGAAGAGGACATGGACGCCAGGTAACCAAGCTAGAATTCAACCACCACATGAAGCCATGAATGGTGTATACTTGTGCCTAAGGGAATTGACCACCTTGGCACAAAATCAGAATGGAAACAACCACCAGAACGGGTTTGCACAGCCGTTGGCCGTAGATCCGACTTTAACCAAGAGTCTAGGAGGA